TTTTTGTACAGCTCGACTACTGGGTATATGGGTTAGTTTTATGTGACGAGTACACTGGTTGAAACATTATTTGTCCATCACATAGTAGCACTGATTTTCTAACACTGACACTAGTGTAACATACTATCAACACTTGTGTTAATTTTCAACTCTGTATAGTACTGAAATAACTCAGGATGAGTAGAACAGACTTGACTTTTAGATTTTTAAAAGACATTTCGCCTCTCGGATGAGAAACCTCTCTGAAAACAAACATGACAGACAGACGTCCAGGTGCTTTTACACTGAAGCTCTTAGGATTACTACGACCTGGATGACAGAGAATCTACACAGACTTTCACAAGTATTATATCAAAAGAGTGGACACATATGGAGACTTCTCTAGTGTCATATTTAACCCTCTCAGAGTTCATTTGTAATTTTGCTGTGGAGCCCTGCTGCAGATTTTACTCATTGCACTGCAAAAGAATTTGTTTTCTATTTATATTGTTGATCCTGAATAATAATATTAACAAACAAACTAATTGTCTCATCGTGTCTCAGGTTTTTGAAGACGCGGTGCATTAAATTCATCATATTTTGATCAACTGCAAAAAAAAAGCTTCACTGGTGCTTTTAATTTGAAAGAGGTGACCGGTATGTTTCCTATATACTCTGTCTGACTTGACACTGATAGGAACATTTTGTTAAACCTCTGCATGTGACCGAACAACGGGCAGGAGCAGCAGCCGCAGCAGCAGCAGTAGGGTCGAAGTCAGTTTGAAGAAAGAAGAAAAACTGTCAACAATCAGATTTTTCGTGGGAGTTACAGGAACACGGCGGTGAAAAGGGAGATTTACTTTTTCTTTGAAGTGAGGCAAGTTGCTGAATTATGAATCCCAGCAACACATCGAGCGCTCCTCAACAGGACTGGACTGCGGAGAAGAGCCCCATGGGCCACCCCGCTCCTCCACCCTACCAGGACGCTCCCTACCCCGGCATGCCCCCGCCAGGCCCTGGATACCCTCCACAGCAGGTAACCAGCACAGAAACACGCACAAAGGAGCAAAAAATGTCATCAAACATCACACAGTTTGGCTTTCAGTTGTGTTTCCTTTCACCTAAATGCTGCTAAACATCTGCATTTTAATGCAAATTCCTGCAACAAACAACAAAAATCAACTTTGTATCAATGACAGCATTAATTTTCTTGTCTGTTCTATTGTATTCTTTTATGTTATTTCCTGATGCTGTTGATTAAAAAACAACCCAAAAAAAAGTTTACAAAAAAGAAAAGCGTTGATTTGATATGTAGGTTTTGAAATTCTAATACATAAAGTGCTGAAAATGTCTCCTAGAGCTTGTGTTGCCCTGTTAACCATGAAATTAAACCAGCAGTGGTTGTAGCTGACTGTTAGGGGTGTGGACTTCCTCTCAACACTGGAAGAAGGATCCTCTTTTATGAAATTTCTATTTCTGCATTTTTTTTTTTTAGTGCACCGTTTTGTATCTTTTTGACCCCACTTTATAGTAGAAATGTCTCTGATTGTGTAAAAGAAAACGAAACATTCAAGCACAAGGTGACAATTTCAAATCCAGTGGAACATACTTTTGCAGTGACACTGTGTATCTCTTTAAAATATTTACTGTACTGCAGATCACATTTAATCCAAGATAAGTCAACACACATATAATCATGCTCATCTGTTGTCTTTTGACCTCTTTAAATGTGCCACCTATTCATCCATAAATGAACACACTTAGAAATTCCTGCACATCAGCGAGATTTTTAGCTCTTGTTCAAAACTTCTTGCACATTCAGAACATGATGTGCTGAAGAGAAAAGACACTTCAGAGGCTTTGTTGCTTCTTAGAAGAGTGGTTAGAAACGTTCCTCTGCTTTTAGTATGTTTTTTTTGGAGTTTACACAATTGTAATTATTGTTCCATGCCTTAAATCAAAGGTCATGGTATATGGTGTTGTGTAATTCTGCTGGTGATGCCAACGATTAAAAATCAGGTCAAGTTAAACTCTTCCTGGATGCCTGAATTCATGTCCTCTGCTTGTGGTCTTAAACTACAACTGCTGATTTATCTTACTGATCTGATTACTCCAGGTCTCACTGAGTTCAATTTTCAACTCCCACCTCCGGGAGAGCTTCTCCCAGATTCCGAGGGAGGAAGGAGACGTGGCGGCTGAGTGGTCCATGTTCTCCTCCTCCATTGTCGCTGTGGCCACTCGTAGCTGTGGTCATAAGGTCTCTGCTGCCTGTCGCGGCGGTAATCCCCGAACCCGGTGGTGGCAGCCGGAAGTAAGAGATGCCGTCAAGCTGAAGAAGGAGTCCTATTGGTCATTTTTGGCCTGTGGAACTCCTGAAGCAGCTGACGGGTACCGGCAGGCCAAGCGTGCGGCAGCTCGTGTGGTCGCGGAGGCAAAAACCCGAGTCTGGGAGGAGTTCGGGGAGGCCATGGAGGAGGACTATGGGTCGGCCTCGAAGAAATTCTGGCAAACCGTCCGGCGCCTCAGGAGGGGAAAGCAGCTCTCCACCAGCACTGTCTTTGGTGCGGATGGAGACCTCCTGACCTCGACTGGGGAGGTCGTCGGGCGGTGGAAGGA